TTTTTTTATATGCCTCAGACTATACTCACAACTCGTAACCAACCCAGCCCTTCTCTTTCTCCCCCCCCCCAGGAAAAAAGCTTATTTTAATAGGGACTTGGACTTGAGACTTGGGACTTGATGCAAAAGATTGGGACTTGGGAGTCAGACTTGCCAACACCCCTAGTCAACGAAAGCCTTTGCAGCAACATCTATAGATCTATGATTTCACAGGCAGAAAATGACAGAAACTGAAAATAAAACAGTCAGATTGATGATTACTTCAGAATTCAAGAATTATAGAATAATTAAGTAGGAAGGGACCTATAAGGCCATCAAGTCCAACACCCTGCTCACATCTCCTTTGTTTAGAATTCAACCCAGGAATCCTAATCAAAGGAGATCTGACAGGTGGTTGTCCAATTTTCTTCTTGAATGCCTCCACAGACTTCCCTTCCCTCAGCACTGCTTGGAAGCTTTTCTCTCTCCCCTTTTGAAATCTTCACTTTGATTATTCCTTAATTTTCAGGGGCTGATGTTGGAAATGGAGCGAACGAGGAAGAACTCTACATGGATTATATTTGTGAACATGGAAAAAGTGGGGTTTTAAGAACAGAGAAGGACTCATGAGGGAAAAAAGACAACCTTACAGAGAAAAGGAGAGGAAAATGTTCCTTTTTTCCTGGATGGAACCATAAGAACAAGCAAAAAGAACATAAGAATTAATGCACAAAAGCTTTCTCCATGCCATGGATTCCTCAATGTTAGTCATTTTTGTGAAGGCAACAAAACAAATCTAATCTAAATCTTCCACTAAATATTTGGTATGGAGATGAGATCTTGCTTCAGGCCTCTTGGTTTTTTGCGTTTAGGAAGTCCGGGACATAAAGCAGAGCCTCTTTCATTATTGATGCCTGTAGAATTCTCTTCCTTTCATGCCTGCTTGGTGTTCTTAATTGTGTGTTTTATATTTGCTTTGTTTGAAGAGGTGAATTCTACTTTATTCCATGGAACTAGTCTTTATTTGATGTGGTGAGGTGGTACAGTCCTTTGCGACACCAAGTTTTTGGAGCTTTTTTTTTAAAAAAAGACATTGGGTTATTCTGGGAGAAAAACTACATACATCCTGGAATTGACCTGAATGATTTTGATATTCAGTTTACCTGAGAAGCTTCACAAGACTTCATGTTCCCCATCCCTGTACAGTAGATCAATAGTGAAGCTGCTGAATCTGTTCTGGGTTTTAGTCTGAACTTTCCAAGAGCTATGCAGGGTGCCAGGCTTATTCTGAGGGTAGGGGTTGGCACCATGAATAGATACTGTAAAGTTCGACCCCAAACCAGAACGGATCCATGTCTTTTCTCTCTCGTCCCACATTAGAGTCACCACCCGCCGACGTATTTCTGCTAGAGTGATATTATTGTCGCTGCTTTACTAGACATTTGTTTGATTTAGTAAACTATTGTCTTTGTTCTCCTTAGGATACTGTACTTGTGTTTGTATTGTTTCTTAAATCCACACAGGACAAAAACTGCAGTGTGTGTAGCTTCTCTGTGTTTGTGGAAATTCAGAAAACTATTGAGGCTTTCTAAATAACTGGTTTAGATAGTAATAATTTTTCTCATGTAATGTTTCTCTTCCTAAACGATTCTGTGCTTTTTCTCTCTCCAATAGTCTTATATCTTTTCTTTCAGACATTTATTCTGTAACCGACAGAAGAGGGAAGCCGGGAAGAAAAATATCTGAGGTGTTCTAGGGATTCTGTAATAGTTGTAATGCATCCTGGGGGAGAACCCAATTGATCTCGGAAGATGTCATATTTTTGACCTTCTTCCTAATAAATTTTTATATTTCTCCTTGTGTGTGTTTTTCTATTTGCCTCTTTAAACCAGTGTAGACCACAGCTTACACATTTAGGCTGTGGTTTTCACCATACTGGCTACATATTCCTAAGCTGTCCTATTATAGTTGAGGTTCCCTAGGGTCACATTTATGTCTATATGAGAAAAAGTGTGTGTGTGTGTGTGTGTGTGTGTGTGTGTGTGTGTGTGTGTGTGTGTGTGTGTGTGTGTGTGTGTGTGTGTGTGTGTGTGAGAGAGAGAGAGAGAGAGAGAGAAAATTGTGTGTGTGTGTGAAATTGTGTTTGTATGTGTGTGTATGCATGGGGAAAATAGCCATGCTTCTGGGTTTAAACATAGGCTTAAACTGCACATGTTTGACCTCTAATCCTCTTGAAGCAGCTTCTCCAACCATGATAGAGAACCAAATTCTGAGCTTTGAACTTCAGGGGTAAAAAAAAGGGTGGGACCAAAACTCAGCTAATTTGAGCCCCACCTTCTGGAAATACTGTATAGGAAATAAGTTTGCTGTATCTTTCACATGACATCCCTTCAAATAATAATAAATCTTAGAAATGCAGAACTGAAAGGGACCCTTCAGATCATCAAGACCTTGTCAAGGAGGAACCAGTGAGGAATCAAATTCTAGGACTCTGAGAACTCCAGGGGTGAAATTTTCAAGGATCCTGGTTTGCCCCTTTTTGGACCTAGAGCAGGAGAAATGGCTAGTGATAGCAATAATGGTATTTTAAGAATGGAGCCGAATTTTATCATAATCGGGAATGGTCTTTTGGAACAAGTTTTTCACAAGTTCCCAGCAGCTTGGCTTCAGTCATAGGAGAGGTTAGAATGAATGAATGAATGAATGAATGAATGAATGAATGAATGAATGAATGAATGAATGAATGAATGAATGAATGAATGAATGAATGGAGGAAGTCAAATGAAATAAAGTCCTGTAGCATTAAAAGGAATGAATGAAGTTAATTAGAGTCCTGCAACATTAAAAGGAATGAATGAATGAATGAATGAACAAAAGAAGGAAGGAATGGAGGAAGTCAAATGAAATAAAGTCCTGCAACATTAAAAGGGAGGAGTGAATGAAGTCAAAGTCCTGCAACATTAAAAGGAATGAATGAATGAATTAATGAAGTCAAATGAAATAAAGTCCTGTAGCATTAAAAGGAATGAATGAATGAATGAATGAATGAATGAATGAATGGAGGAAGTCAAATGAAATAAAGTCCTGTAGCATTAAAAGGAATGAATGAAGTTAATTAGCCTCCTGCAACATTAAAAGGAATGAATGAATGAATGAATGAACAAAAGAAGGAAGGAATGGAGGAAGTCAAATGAACTGATGTCCTGCAGTATTAAAATGAATGAATGAATGAAAAGACGAAGTCAAATGAAACAAAGTCCTGCAGCATTAAAAGCTATGAATGAATCGAATGGAATGAAATGAAATAAAGGGGATTCTTTCAAAGTCCTGGAAATGGAGGCGGAGGTTCAGGAGAAGGTTGAGTAAGAACAGCTGGTGAAAATGGGTCGAGAAAGATCTGGGGAACAAGAACACGGGCAGTTTCTGCCATCTTCTGGGCTGAAAATCCCGCCCCCAAAGCCCTTTCCCTCCATGGCCAGAAGGGAGCAAAGAGAGCCCGGTTGTCTGAAAAGCCTAACCCTAAGGCGAGGGGGAGGGGGAGGGCTGATTGTCGCCTTCTTCCTATCCTCCCGAAGGGTTAAGTGCATAGATTAGTGATTCCTAGAGAGGAAGCGAACCGGGCGGACAGGAAGTGGAGGAGGAGGAGGCCTGCGCGACAAAAGAGTCCCCCTCCACAAAAAGTCCCTTCCTGTCTCCTCTTTTTTCCCCTTCCGGAAGGAAACAGGGGGCTTTTGTCTCCTCGCCGCGACCC